AAATTTGGTAAGTTTTCAGTCTTTACTTCTAAAAAAATATTCTTTCTGCCTCTTTCTCTCTCTCTTCTCCTGTGACTCTTTCTATGATTATGTTGGGTTCTTGATAGTGTCCCACAGGTCTTTGAGACTCTGTTCATTTTTCTTTATTATATTTTCTTTATGTTCCAGAGTGGATACTTTTAATTGGTCTATTTCTAAGTTCATTAATTCTCTTTTATGCCTACTTAAATGTGCTGTTGAACCCCTCCAGTGAAATTTTTATTTCAGTTGTTGTATTTTCCACCTCCAGGATTTCTATTTGATTATGTTTTATGCTTTTTATGTTTGTATTGTTATTGTCTATTTGGTGAGACATTGTTTTCATATTCTCCTTTAGTTCTTTACAGATGGCTTCATGTAGATCTTTGAACATGTTTAAAATCTTTGTCTAGTAAGTCCACTGGTGTGGTTTCCTCAGGAACAGTTCTTTTGATTTTATTTTTACTTGTGAATAGGCCATACACTTGTTTCTTTGTTTGTCTTATTTTTGTTGTTGTTGTTAAAAACTTGTTACTCTGAAAAGCATATTTGCATCCCTCTTCATGGTTTGTGGTGGTTGTTTTTTGTAGTTATTGTTTCTTTGTTGTGGCTTTTCTGAATAAATTCTGTAAAGTATGTATTCTTTGGCCTGGGTGGCCACTGAATTCTCTGCTCAATTAGCTTAGTCATCAGTTAATAACGGAAGAGAGATTTTCCTACATCCATGGAACCAATGTCTCTCAGTCATTGTAGAATGGCTCTATGTTAATTTAGGAGCACGGCTTTGACACTCAGCCAGGCAAATGATAACTCTGCCTTTGTCTTCACTTCCTAATTGCACAGAGCATCAAAATCAGTCCAAGGTAACAACTTAGGGCCTTTTCTATTTTTTTTTTCTTGAGCATGGGCACTGTCCTGGGCACATACCTGGTCTTCTAGATTCTCTGTAATATATCAGAGATTTTCAAAATTTCTATGAATATCTCATTACCCAGCTTATGTGCTTACGCTTTGGTTGGTCTATTGTTTCCCCCAACTGTTGTCCAATACCTTCAGCATCTGTGAAATTAATAAATTGTTTGTAATTGATTTTGACAAATGACCCCAGGGAAAAAGGCTTTTCACAGTGGGCAAGTTCTGAATCAAGTAGAATATAGACAGAATTGCAAGTGAGTTCTTCCAGAGAACTACCAGACATGTCAAATAATGACATCCTTCTGGAAATGAGACTTTGATAAAGCTCTAGCCCTATTCAGTTCTCTTCAGTATTTGTTTTTAGTCTGTCTCCAGACTATTTGTTTTTACTGTGAATATGAACTGTTAATTTTCAAGGCTGCTGCAGAGCTGGATACTGGGGGATGAGACTAATGCAAGCTAAAACACAACAAAGCTCATTTTTCTTGCTGAGTTTCAGTCATTTTCTTTAATAAATGTTCCCTGGATTGTTGCAAGCCTTTGGTTAGTTTCTAGAATCCTGAAAACTTTGATTCTCACATTTATTTGCCAGTTTACTTGTTGCCTTTATGAAGGAGAGAATTATCAGAGTTTCTTACTCTGCCC